GAACCCGCCACCTTAGGTGTACGTGGCTGGCGCCTTAGCCGGTTGAGCTATAGGCGCCGAGTCAACTGTGCACTAAATTAATAAAACAATTCCTTGGGTGGCACCTGTGGCTCAAAGGAGTAGGGCACTGGCCGGTTCAAACCTGGCCCCGGCCAAAAACAGCCAAAAAAAAAAAAATTCCTATATAAGACTGAACAAAACACTTAAAATCTGTCTTCTAAGCTGTAAAGGAAATTAATCTGAAATCTTGAAATAATAAACTGAGCTATAACATGATCCTACTCATCCATATACAAAAAGGGAACTATGGCTTAACAAATGATTTAGAAGTTTGGGTTAAGTTCTTTCTCAGAGATAGTTTCTCTATTTGTAAAATGAAGTACTGTGAAGACTAAATGATAAAATACATATGAAATATATTTAGAAACAACAAAATGGTACCCAAAGGCTATTTATTAGTATCTTTTGTTTTACTAAATTACAAGACTCTTTTTCTTTTCTTGAGACAGAGTCTCAAGCAGTCACCCTGGGTAGAGTGCCATGGCATCATAGCTCATGGCAACCTCAAACTCCTGGGTTTAAGTGATTCTCTTGCCTCAGCCTCCCAGGTAGCTGGGACTACAGGCGCCCGCCACAACACCTGGCTATTATTTTATTTTGTTGTTGCAGTTGTCATTGTTTAGCAGCTCCAGGCCAGGTTCGAACCTGCCAGCCCTGGTGTATGTGGCTGGCACCCTAACCACTGAGCTATGGGCACTATGCTAGTTTATAGACTTTTAAAACAATGGAATTCCTTAATACTGCCAGAGGACAGAACTGGAGAAAAAACACAATTTTTATAAAAATTAGACTCATGACCTCATGGAAAGCTCTTTTAACGTCAATAATATTTACTTGTTTATACATATCATCTTTAAAAATATACAAGAAAGGTTAAAATTAAAACTTACCTCATAATACCACCGTGATATTGGCAAACTGTGGGTGATAGCAAGCCAGTTTCGGTGTACTTCAAAATCTGTGGAATGGCTACTCAAAACAATTAGATGAAAAAAATTAGATTCTGCAACATTTATCAATTTCTAATTTCCATAATTGTGCCTTTTTTTCCAGACAGTTTCACTTTGTCACCCTGGTAGAGTGCTGTGGTGTCACAGGTCACAGCAACCTTGAAATCTTGGGCTCAAGCGATTCTCTTGCCTCAGCCCCCAAGTAGTTGGGACTACAGATGCCCACACAACGTACAGCTATTTTTGTTGTAGTTGTCATTGTTTAGTTGGCCTGGGCCAGGTTTGAACCTGCCAGCCTGGAGGATGTGCCCAGTGCCCTAACCGGTGAGGTACAGGCACTGAGCCAACATCCAGCTGTTTTTAGAGAAGAGATCTCGCTCTGGCTCAGACTGGTCTCAAACCTGTGAGCTCAGGCAGTCTACCCACCTTGGCCTCCCAAGTGCTGGGATTACAAGCGTGAGCCACTGCACTCGGCCCATAATTGTGCTTTTAAATGGACGAACAGCATTGCTCACTGTACTGTAAAGATCTAAACAGGCACAACATAATCCTGTACTTCACTCATCTGGAGATCTGACCTCCTTTTGGAAAGTTGTTAAGGGACCTGAAAGTCAGTAAAAAGGGTCTCTGATCTATCAAAAGGGCTGACAAAAAGCCCATGCTTTTTCTTACGAATAGCCCTCAGGCCCTTGCTCAGAAATGATGTCCTCTTGTTCACAAACCATTCTAACAAAATTCATTTTCTGGAAAGGCCTCACATACAAGCTGGATCTTCCAGGATGAAGAGAAATTTACCACAGAAGGGAAAAGGCCCTTGCCCTGCCTGGCCCATGACCCCTTCCCCATCACATGTATAACTATAGTCAAGTATCTTCCCATCTTCAGTAGAAAATCTTTTTTTCTGGTTTGTTCACTACTATTATCTTCCCTTCACATCTAGAACAACACCTGACACATGGAGGGGCTCAATATATTCTAGCTGAATAACCACCCACCAAAGCCAAGAATAAGCTCCACAGCAAAGCCCAGTTTACACTGCTCAATGTCTTACATCTTGTAAAGTGTATGTTTTCCACAGTGACTTTTTCTTTTTTCCAACCCCTTCTCAGCTTCAATCATGACGTTTCCTTCTTATAGTCATCAGGAATGGTTTGTATATTACTTGAGCCTACATGCCCCATTTGATTATTCCTTTCCTCATAAAATCACAAAACATTAGGGATAACAAGATCTTAGAAATGATTCTAAATCCTCATGTGTCAGATGAGACACTAAGGCCCAAAGAGACGAAGTGTCTTTTCTCCATGTAACTCAGGGGTCCTCAAACTTTTTAAACAGGGGCCAATTCACTGTCCCTTAGACTGTTGAAGGGCCGGACTATGGGCCCTGGGACGAGTCAGCTACTAAGCAGGACAGGCAGCGGCAGCAAAAACACCCAGCAGGCTGGATAAATGTCCTAGGTGGGCCACATGTGGCCTGCAGGCCATAGTTTGAGGACGCCTGATATAACTAGTTAGTGGCACAGCCAGGCCTAGAATCCAAAATTTCTCTAGGTTCAGTTCTTGGTCCTCTTTATATGCAACTTACTCTCCTCTAGACAATAATATTCACACTTTGGGGGTTTGATCATCAATTGTACAATGAAGACTTTCAAATTACAATATACAAGCCTTGGTTTTTTTCCCTGTGTTCTAGAGATAAACATCTCCAATTTCCTCCTGACAGTCTCACCTGAAGTTCCTACAGATGCTTCTAAAACGCCACTTAAAAATGAACTGATGACCCATGAAATCCCAATTCTAAGTATATACCAAATAAATGCAAAATAGGGGCGGCTCCTGTGGCTCAGTGAGTAGGGCACCAGCCCCCTATAGAAAGTGGCGGGTTCAAACCTGGCCCCAGCCAAACTGCAACAAAAAATAGCCAGGCATTGTGGCGGGCACCTGTGGTCCCAGCTACTTGGAAGGCTGACGCAAGTGAATCTAAGCCTAAGAGCTGGAGGTTGCTGTGAGCTGTGATGCCACGGCACCCTGCCAAGGGCAACAAAGTGAGACCCTTGTCTCTTAAAAAAAAAAAAAAAGAAATGCAAAATATATTCACCAAAAGACATGTACTATGGAAGGATGTACAAAGCAGCATTATTTGCAACAAGCAATGGGTAGAGATACTTCAAATGTCCACAAACAGTAGAATGGCTCAATAAATAGTGGGATATCCATACAGTGGAATATGGCAGCAATTCTCAAGGTCTAGTTGATCAATCTCCTTTAGTCTCTGTTTTGGTTGTTGTAGTTACTTTGTTGGAAACTGTTGGAGATGTCACGGTTTTGTTTTGTGACTGTCTTTTTGAATCTCTCTGAAGATGGCATTTAGAATTCATTTGAGTGAGTTTGGAGGCATTTTACTAGTTGTATTATATCAATCTCCTTTAGTCTCTTTTTTGGTTGTCATAGTTATTTTGTTGGCTGTTGGAGATGTCACTTTGTGATGATCAAGCAAAGAACTACAGTTTCTTTTATTTTTTTGAGATAGAGTCTTTGTCGGCCTTGGTAGAGTGCTGTAGTGTCACAGCTCACAGCAACCTCAGACTCTTGGGCTTAAGCAATTCTCTTGCCTTAGCTTCCCAAGTAGCTGGAACTACAGGTGCCCACTCTAACACCCGGCTATTTTTAGAGATGGGGTCTTGCTCTTGCTCAGGATGGTCTTGAACTCCTGAGCTCAGGCCATCCACCTGCTTTAGCATCCTAGAGTGCTAGGATTATAGGTGTGAGCCACCATGCCTGGCCTTGCATACATCTTCAGTTAATCTGAATTTTCTGCCCTTGGCCTCACTTCTGCCTTCCACAGTCTTGGTGCCTCTGAATCTGGAAACTCTCCTAAATTATTTCTTCAAAGAAACCTCACCTGTAAGAATAGATGCTGTGGGACTGCAGGCCTTTTTTTAAAAGCATATTGATTGTCAACCAATTTTAGTTGAGTCCCATAAATCCAAGTCTTAAACCCCTCCAGGGTTCTGCATGGCATAAAGACTCTTGTTTATCTTCCTTCATAAGTATGTTGAGCTGAAGGGTCCTTTGTCTGGCTAAATACGTTATTCCTGTACCTGTTTTCAAAGACTTTGTTGAATTCTCTCATACAGACACTCCTTATTAGGTTTATACCTAACTAATATTTTAATATCATTTTAGTTGAGATTTTTCTTCTTTTTAAAATTTCTGATTAATATGAGGTTATAATTAATTATAATGTTTGCATTTGTTAAAGTCCCTGTTGCAGTTGTGTCCTACACCTATGAGGTATGCCATATACCCTTACATTGTACCCATCAGGTGCGAGCACACCAAACTCCCTTCCACCTGCAACTTGAATTGAGTTTTTCTCTTGTGTGGGTGTGTATTGAACTACTGGCTTCATATTAGTATTTAGTACACTGGATACTTTCCCATTCTTGTGATACTTTACTAAGAAGAATGTATTTCAACTCCATCCAGGTTAATATAAAAGATGTAAAATTTCCATCTTTTTTTAATGGATGAATAATATTCCATGGTATACATATACCACAGTTTATTAATCCATTCTTGGGTTGATGGGGACTTGGGTTGTTTCCATATCTTGCTGATTGTAAATTGGGCTGTGATAAACAATCTAGTGGAAATGTCCCTATGATAAAATGCTTTCTTTCTTCTGGGTAAATGACTAGTAATTGGACCACAGGATCAAATGGGAGGTCTATTTTGAGTTCTTTGAGTATTCTCCATACTTCTTTCCAAAGAAAAATATAGAACACTTTATGAATTTGCACGTCATTCTTGCACAGGGACCATGCTAATCTCCGTATCATTTCAAGTTTAGTATATGTGCTGCTAAAGTGACACCATTTTAGTGAGATTTTTAAGAGGAGATAAGCTTTTTTGTTGGAGACAGTTTCACACTTTGTTACCCTGGATAGAGTGCTGTGGCTCACAGCAACCTCAAACTCCTGGGCTCAAGTGATCTTCTTGCCTCAGTCTCCCAAGTAGCTGGGATTACAGGCATCCACCACAACATCCAGCTATTTTTTTTTATTTTTTTTGAGACAGAGTCTCAAGCCGCTGCCCTGAGTAGAATGCCGTGGTATCACAGCTCACAGCAACCTCAAACTCTTGGGCTTAAGCAATTCTCTTGCCTCAGCCTCCCAACTAGCTGGGACTATAGGCACCCACTACAATGTGCAGCTATTTTTTGTTGCAGCTGTCATTGTCATTTAGCTGGCCCAGGCCAGGCTCAAATCCACCAGCTTTGGTGTATGTGGCTGGCGCCATAACCACTGTGCTACGGATGCCAAGCCATCTGGCTTTTTTTTTTTTTGAGAAAGAGTCTTGCTGTTGCTCAGGCTGGTCTCAAACTCCCGAGCTCAGGCCCACTTCCACCTTCCCAGAGTGCTAGGATTATAGGCGTGAGCCATCACAGCAGAGATAAGCTTTTATAACCATAACACTTTAAGGTAATCTATCAATTTCCCTGTTTGGACTATGCACAACCTGGGAGAAAGATCATGTCTTTCATCTTGGTGTTCTATATCTACTATAGTTCCTGAAACATAGCAGATGCTTAAGAAACGTTTGGTAGGGGCGGTGCCTGTGACTCAGTGGGTAGGGCGCCAGCCCCATATACCAAGGGTGGCAGGTTCGAACCTGGCCCTGGCCAAATTGCAACAAAAAAATAGCCGGGCATTGTGGTGGGCACTTGTAGTCCCAGCTACTCAGGAGGCTGAGGCAAAAGAATCACCTAAGCCCAGAAGTTGGAAGTTGCTGTGAGCTGTGTGACGCCATGGCAGTCTACCGAGGGCGATGAAATAAGACTCTGTCTCTACAAAAAAAAAAAAAAAAAAAGAAAGAAATGTTTGGCAAATTGATGCATGGATGAGTGAATATGTGAGTACATGATTGAAATGAACATATGAATGACAGTATAAAGAACCCAGGGATACCCTTCCATACTTCACTATGACTAGACTGTAGTAGGTGGTATGCAGAAAAGACTGCTGGTTTACAAGATTGCCATGGATCTCTTAGAGAAGGCTAAATTCCATCCATTCTACAGTTTGAGGCAGAAAAGTTTATAATGATAATTTTAAATGTCTGGTAAAATGCTTAAACTCTTTTAAGGTACTTGAGATATTCCCTATAGAATACTTCCTCATTCAATGTTACATAAATGAGGTGTTATAAATGAATATTCATAGTGGCATTTACAAAAATCTAAACCAAAGGAGAAGATCTGGCCTTGTAAAATTCTTTCTAATTAGTGAATCAACTAAGAAGCATAAAAGTAACTTTAACTTATGGATTTGAAAGACTGCAAAGCTAAGACTAGAGATACAATGCCAAATAACAAGCAACTATTTTTCTTTATAAAAATCGCATTGGCTTGGCGCCTGTGGCTCAAGCGGCTAAGGCGCCAGCCACATATACCTAAGGTGGCGGGTTTGAATCC